ATTCAAATAACAGCCAAAAGTTGTTGATAATATGCATGGTATACCATGCTCCTTATATTCAAGTGATTTTGAAATTTGATTACTTTTTCTAAAGAGCATGTTACAAGATCTCTCATATTTCATCACTTCATTTTAAGCTCTTAGCTGAAATTGTTATTCATTTAGCACAAAATATAATATAATTTGGATCTGGTTAGAAACCAGTGGCGATGGGATCTGGATGTGGGACGGCGTTTGGAATATTGAGAGGTCAAGATGTTTTCTTAACTGGAAAATCTAGAGGACTCGTCAGAATTTTTCAAACTGGGCCTAGGAAATAAACAAAAAGGACAAGGAAGAGAGCTCATCCAAATCAAACACCAATGAATTAGGCTCAAAATGTGGCTTCATGAGATATATTGTGTTATCTTTTTCATTCATGTTTCCTACAATATGGTTCTTATTTCATTTTTCTCGTTCATTTTAATGCAAGTTTTTGTTTTTCTCTTCTTAATGAATTCCAAGTGATTTGCCTCATTTGTGTGCAAAAGTATACCGTTTTATCTTGTGAATAAAATTTTCCACATATCAGTAACATTTTCTCTTTTTGGTCTAGAAATATCATCAACTTATGGTACTTTAAAATCAGTTATCAACCGTTCAACCTTTCTCATTTAATTAAGGATTTAAAGAAACATTTTAGTTTGTTCATTTCTTTAATTTAAAGTTCTATTATAGGGTTTTGGGTTTTTATAAATATGTGGAAATCACTTTCTACTTCATGACTTTATGATCGATATATTATTGTTCAAAATAATGGTGCAAGCAGGAATTTAAAATAAGCAAAATGATTTGATTTTAAATTTTAAACTCCCAATAATTTTTTCCTTTCACAAAACTTTTCACATTGAAAATATAACAATATACAAGTTCGAATTTTAAGAAGTATATATATATCGAAAGGATTTTAACACTATTATTTTCAGTCCAGAGATTAGTTGCAAATTCAAAGTGATTTGGGTATACTTTGAATTTATACACACGCACATATGTGTGTGTGTGTAACGATGCAAACCACCAGCGTGAATTGCTTTATTACTTAACTAACGTTCATTGTGCTCAACAAGTAATTCATGGATAATATCGCCTCATGAAAACCTTGGGCCTTAAACAGTGGTGAAAGCATTTTGGCCCATTAACTATATATGTAACTCTCTTTTTCCTAATTCTAATATTAATAGTAATAGAGTTGGGTCTAGCAAAAAAAATTAGTCCTTTAAGATATAGCGAATCAAGTTTTGATGCCTAATAGTACCTCAAATAGGATTGTCTCTAATAGAAGAATACCGCTGTTTTAGCCACACACAAAAAAAGAAAGAAAATTCCTATGTTAATAAATTCGTCTTCTTGTTTTTTTTTTTTTTCCAAAGACTAGTTTTGTCTTTTATCGTTTCCTTTGACATCCTTAAAATACAATAAAAAAAATAAGGGTCAAATGAAACATTGTAAATATTAAGCAGGAAAGGGGGGGATGTAAAATTAGTGCTTAAACCCGTCAATTTCTCCAAAAAAATAATTTCAAAGTACGTGTGTGTGTGTCTAAGTTCATTCATATATTTCTGTCTCATTTTCCTCCCAATTTTCGAGCCCTTCAAAAATTTCAACCAAATTAATTCAAACAATCAAACCATCAAATCTTTTTTTTTTTTTTTAAGGTACAAACCAAACGGTCATAATTAAAGAGGGTCTTCGTAACTAAGTCATTCAACGAGCCTTTATGCAATGGCCTCGCAAATTATGTGGTGAATATATCTTTTAAAAATTCATATATGGCTAGAATATAAGTGTTAATGGAAAACCCAAAAAATAAAATACAAGATGTGGTTTCATATGAAATAAAAATATTTAGTTAAATTTAGCACAGGAGTAAAGATTGAGCTCGCCTAGACACCTATCAGTTTCATAAGGCATACAAGGAATTTTGTATTGTTTTCTTGTCACATTCATATTAGCACTTCTCTAAAGCGTAATCGGGCTTTAGAATTGTAATAGGGAATTCCTAATTTCTTTATGATGTTTGTTTTATTTTTAATTCTTGCAAAGTTTATATGAGAGGATGCAAAGAATTGTAGAAAAGAAAATGGCAAGAGATTCTTTCAATATTCGTGCCAATTGTAAATGTAAGAGTTAAGTGGAAAATTTGTTTTCATTTTAAATTGATATCTCAGTGCATTTTGTCTTTGAAATTTATAAGTTTTTCACAAATTATCCCTATTTTAATTATATACATTAAAGAGAGCTTTCATTTGCGAGGTAACAGTTATTAGAAGTAATTAGCTTTATCAATTTGTTTAATCTCCACTGTTTATTTATTTATGATAAAAAAGCGTCATTCTCTTACCAAATGATTATAGACTTTTAAATTTTGTGGATATTTTTTCGAACAAAAAAGATAAGAGGTCTTTAAAAGGGTGGATACGAATGATTTGCTATTAGCTAAACGTAAAATAACGTTAATTACATAAAATAATTAATTTTTAAATATTAAATTCAAATTTAAAATTTTTCACGATGATGGAATATTGAATAGTGATTAAAACCAAAAAAAGAAATACTACCTCCTTAATATAGAAACTAATTAGGGAGTTAATGTTGATATTATACATAAGATATATTTCATATGTTTATTAATTGTTCTTAAATTAGTCCGATTGATATTTCCCAAATAATAATCAAATAAAAGAGGAAGGAAAAGGAGAAAATTTTAAAAAAAACACTTGAACTATTTTTTTAAAAAAAATTATCATATTAATTAATTTAACTAACAAGAAATAAGCAAAGTTTCGTCGTTAAGTGATAAATGGGAAATTCATGGAAAGTTAGGGAGCCAGTTATAGAAAGCATTGGACGAGACTGTTTCTTCACCAAAAGTGGGCGATCATCTTCTTCGAGCGCCATGCTCGACAAGAAAAATGGAGGCTTTCATTGCTTATAACGCTGGAAATGCTTGGTGCACGTATTTTCCATAATGGTGGATCTGTGGAGAAGCAATCAGTAAGACGTTAGTAGTAGTATTAAAGGTTAATGGAGGACTGAACATCTTGGTCATTGTAGTGTTACGTATTTCCGCCTGTCACGCGGACGACCTGCGTTCGATGGTGGGCAACGGCGATTTTTGTCTGCTTTGAACTCCTGGCCCCCCAGGTTCGAAGGTATTATTGTATCATTTTCAGAAGGGGTAAATAAATAATATTTTCAGTTTGGTTTGCTTTCTTTTACTTATTTATATCAGTTTGGTTTATGCGTGGATCAAATTTTATTGAATTACTTTATTTTCTACCAAAAAGTAGTAAATACTACTCCCCCATCCTTTTTATAAGATTTTGCATAGAAATGTGTTTGAACATTAAATTTATTTTTACTAATTTTGCTTTTAATTAACTTTTTATTTTCTTTCCTCATCTTTTTTTTCATACTACATTCTTTTTCATTGTTTATTTTATATTAGCATTTTTCCTTCTTATTTGTTTTCTTATTAAAAATGGATATACTTGGAAAAAAAAAAGTTCAGCTTTCCTATGTTTATTGCTTTTAACTATTTTTCCAAAAAACGTAATTTAGTTAAAATGATGTCATAAATACTGGAGGAAGTAATACTTAAACCAGTTTAGGTTTTTTTTTTGGCAGATTATTCATAGTAAGATGGAGCAAATACAAATGAGAACTAAACTTGTTAATGCATATATATACCGCACAATGCTCATGGAATACATGATTTGATATGTGTGAAATGGAAGAACATAAATTAAAGTACACAAGAATATGTCACATCAAGAATATATGTCACATCTTCTCTGGGTGCAACTGAATATCTCCTGTGTGCAATCTATTTTTCCTTCAATGCAAGTTAGTATCCTTACGTGCAAACTGGTCTCTTGTACCCAAATAGTATTTAATTTTGTGCAAACCATCTTCCTTGTGTATAACTCAACTTCACTTATATACAACTTATCTTCCTCTGTACAACCCATCATCCACAGAAACATTTGTCAATTAATTTTCTATGATTTATTCCCAATTTTTCCTTAATTCAAACGGTTTGATTTTCCTTTTTATAAAAATATCCCTATTTAACAACCGCCGTTATGACCTACCTTTTATCATATGTACCTTTACTTGTAAAGGATGCCTCATCTGTTAGATACCATAGCCTTCGCCTATTCATAGCGCCTCCTAATTTTTGTCGTGGCCTTTCAAATCATCATCTGTCTTTGCTTTTCTTTCTTTATGCTTCCCCTTCTTCTTTTTTCAACCCCCCATTTTGTAATTCTCATGATTCCTTCGCCCTTCTGGAATTCAAAAACTCTCTCTTTTTGGATCAATATGCTTCAATACTATGTTATAACCTTGTTATTGGGGAATCAAATTATTCACAGAACTCATCTTACCCACAGACAGCTTCAACAGGGATGATTCAAATTGCTGCTTATGGGATGGGATCACATGCGACTCCATGTCTTGTCATGTGATTGGTCTCGACCTTAGTTGTAGTTGGCTTCAAGGTCAACTTCATCCTAATAGCACTCTTTCAGTTTTCTCATCTTCAAACACTTAATTTGGCTTTCAATGATTTTCGTGGGTCTTTGATATCACCTCAATTTGGAAATTTTCCTACTCTCATGCATCTAAACTTAAGCTACTCTCATTTTACCGGTGAAATTCCTCCTAAAATTGTAGAATTGTCTAAATTCGTCTCTCTTGATTTGTCTCATAATGGATTTTACTCATCTGAGAAGTGGAGTCCTTTGAGACTTGAAGCATCCACATGGGAGAAGCTTGTTCAAAACATGACTAATCTACAAGTACTTGTTTTAGATGAAGTATATATCTCTTCCACTACACCAAATTCCTTGTCTTTACCCATGAATTTGTCATCCTCTTTGGTCTCCCTGAGTTGCAAGGAAATTTGGTTAATAACATTTTTCATTTGCAAAATCTTTAAAAGTTAGATTTGTCGTGGAATGAGAATCTCAAGTCAACTTCCAAAGTCCATAGGCCATTTGAAGTCTCTCAGTCTCTTGAGTCTTCGGCACTTCCAATTTAATGGGCCTATTCCTGCAAGTTTTGGGAACCTAACTCAGTTAATTGTTTTGGACCTTGCATCAAACAATTTTAGTGGTGAGTTACCTGATATATTTGAAAATGTTTCAAATTTAGAATTGCTTGATTTCTCTGACAACAAGCTACAAGGTAATTGTCCTCAATCAATTTTTAGTCTCATAAATCTTTCCTCTTTGAGTCTACCATCAAATTACTTGCTCTGTTAGTCTTGATCAATTTTCAAAGCTCAAAAATCTAGCATATATACCTTGATATTTCTAACAAGTTTTTCTCACTTGACTTTGACAATACCACTCATTATACCATACCCAATCTTGAAAGTTTAGAGTTATCCTCTTGTAACATCCATGACTTTCCTAAACTATGAGGAAACCTTCAAAATTTGAAGTTTTTAAATCTTTCCAATAACAAAATTCATGGACATATTCCCAACTGGTTCAATAATGTGGGGAATGGTTCTTTGGTCTATTTGGATCTTTCTCATAATAACTTGACATTAGTTGAACATCTTTCAATGAGAAACTTGAGCTTTCTTGATCTCAGCTTCAACTTGTTACAAGGAGATCTCCCAATTCCATCTTTTTAGTATCCAACAACAAATTCAGTGGAGATATTTCTTCCTCATTATGCAATGTGAGGTCACTCGAGATCCTCAACTTATCTCACAACTTCTTGTCAGGCCACATCTCAAATTACCTTGTTGCATTGCTAGATCTTGAGACTTTAGATCTGAAAATGAACAATTTTGTTGGAGCTATACCAGACCATTTTTCTGGGAGCAACTCCTCGCAATCTTTGCATTTGAACAACAATCAATTTGAGGGACGGTTGCCTTTGTCTTTGATCTATTGCAAGAAATTAAAGATTTTAGATGTGGGAGCAAACAAGATTGAAGATGAATTTCCTAATGTTACCAGAACTAGAGGTACTCAATTTAAGAGATAATAATTTTTATGACACCGTTTGTAGTTCGAACATCAAACTTCCATGTCCTATGTTAAGAATTTTTTTATGTTTCCAAAACAACCATTTTGGTGGAGCTTTACCAATTGCATACAGCACGAAATTTAAGGGAATGATGAGAAAAGATCACCTTGCAGTTGGTTTGAATTGCATGGAAAATAAGCATAATGGTGTTTCATATAGAGAATCAGTGATGGTCACAATAAAGGGTAATGAGGTTGAGCTTGAAAGGATCTTAACTATATTCACAGCCATTGACTTGTCAAATAACATGTTTGATGGAGAGATTTCACATGTTATTGATGGAGAGATTTCACATGTTATTGATGAGCTACGTTTGTTAAAAGAGCTAAACCTGTCCCATAATAAAATTACTGGTCCTATTCCTCAATCCATTGCAAATTTGATAAATCTAGAATAGCTAGATTTATCATCAAATAGGCTTACAGGTGAGATTCCTTTTGCACTAACAAATCTCAACTTCTTTGAAGTTCTGAATCTTTCACAGAATCAGCTTGTTGGAGAAATACCAAGAGGTAAGCAATTTGATACATTTTCACAAAATTCCTTTGAAGGAAATTTAGGACTGTGGATTTCAATTGTCAAAAGCATGTAATCATGATGAAGGGAAATTGCCACAACCAACTTCATCAACTAATGACAAATTTGGATTTGGTTGGAAACCAGTGACTTTAGGATATGGATGTGGAATGATGTTTGGAATATTCATGGGCCAAGTTGTTTTCTCAGCTGGAAAACATGAAGGGTTTTTTAGCATTTTTCAAGTTAGGCCTGAGAAGCAAGCAAAAAGGACAAGGAAAACGACTCATCCAAATCAAAGAAAAGCGACTTGGGCACAAAATGTGACTTCATGTGATATTCTGTCATCTCTTTTTCTTCCACGTTCCCTATATGGTTATAAAAACCTAAAATCTTTTTATAGAACTTTAAATTCTTGAAATGGTAAATGGTTATACTCATTCATGGTCGAAGTTAACTTTCATTTAGTTGGACTTTCAACTTCCTTCTTTCTATGGACACTGAACTCCATCTTGGTTGAGGATCTCTAGTTTGTTCAAAAAGAATTATTTTTAACTATTAATTGCCAAATAACAAAAGTTGGTGACATGTCGGCTAACTGGGAAAAAACTTTCTAATATTTGTGGGTATTTTTACTCATTAAAAAAAGAGTTACATTAAAATTAAAAATACAGTACATGTTAATTACTAACTGGATATTTAAGAGACATGAAACGAATCACTTTCTTCCTAAAAACTTTGTGATCATTATCAAGTAACACTCCAAATTTTCTTACCTAGGATAAACAGAAAAGAGGAAATCTGTAACATCCTGAGTTTTATCGGGTTTTAATAGCCTCTTTTGGGTTGATTTTGAGGATAGATTAGTGATTTAATCTTGATCTGGGTGTTTGGGTTGAATTTGAGGTTTGTTGGAGGAATAGGTGAACGTACCCCTCTCAGGGTATGTTCGCCGCGGCGCACCGGGAGTTTCAGAGGGGAGTGTCTTCTCGGGAAGGTTTGGCCGTGGCGAAGTCTTGGGGACGCCGCGGCGAAGTTACTCTAGTGAGCGAGGCTTCCCTTTCGGGAAGGTTTCGCCGCAGCAAAGGTAGGGGTATGCCGCGGCGAATGTTCTTCTGGGCGAGCGAGAGTTTCCTCTCGGGAAGCTTTCGCCGCGGCGAAGTCGGGTTTTTAGGTGAGTAATCCCTCTCGGGATTAGTTCGCCGCGGCGAAAGGTCGCGAATCTATATATTCGCGGGAGCAGTTCAGCGTGCGAAAAATAAGAAAATCTGAGGTAGAGAGAGAGGCTCTGCTAGGGTTTCGGTATTTTGGCTTGGAGGGGGCATTTCTAAGGATCCATTACCTCAAGTAAGTGATTTTAACCTCTAATCTATCTTCTTGATTGGAATTTATAAGGATTTATGGTGAAACCCTAGGATTTTCTAGGTTGTGTTGGAACTGAGGTTTTTGACCGATTGTTTTGAGTTTAATTGATTGCATTGGGTTAGTTTAAGTATTTAATCGATGTAGTTTCCTTGGATTTAAAGAATCTTGAATTTTTAGAGCTAGGGTTTATGGAAATGGGAGGTTTGTGATTGAGGATGATAATGTAGAGGTTGATTTTGAGTTTTGTGAATTGGGTTATGTTAAGGAGGGTTAAATTGGATGTTTAATCGGTTTAGAATTGTTGTTGGAACCTTAATTGCTCAAATGGGATGTTTGGGTGTAGAATTCCATAGTGGGTCCTTGAGGTTGTGAATCTTAATTGATGTTTGGAAAGGAATTAAGGTTTTAATGGATTGGTATGACTTTGGAGTGTTGCCTTGATAGTTATACCCTTTGAATTGGGTAGAGTTTTGATGGGAGATAGGAATTTTGTGTCCCCAAGTGTTGTTTTGGCCACATTATTAGTTTGAAAGCTAATATATGATGGTTGTGTGTTTGTGTGCTTGTGTAGACCGGTTGTGAGTCTTGGTGGTGCACGGGGCCACATTGTCGGTTTGTTATTCCTTGCTCAGGCGAGAGGTAACCACTTTCCAATCCTTAGTACTTGCTTCTGTGGTATTGTGAGTAGATTTATGCTTTGTGTTCTAAGTAGTAATTATGTTCGAACCGTATGTTGTGTACAAAAAGGAAAACCGTCTGGTGGGGGTTTCGACTAATGATGAATGAATTTTGGAATTGTGAAAGATATACCACTGAATGAGGTTAATTGTGAAATGATTATTACTCTTTGATTATGACTTGAGCATGATGCATTAATTGGGAATTGGTGAGAGTTTTGTCTGTTACTACCACGTGGTAAGGCCTCCATTAATGCATGATGGTTGGCTCAGTACGTCCCCCATAGTGAGGGATAGGCCTTTTGGCTCCCTACGTCCCTCGGAGTGAGGGATAGACCTTTTATGGCTCCTTACGTCCCCCAAAGTGAGGGATAGGCCGGCTTCGGCTCCTGAAAATCCCCCAAAGTGAGGGATTTGGTTGATGGGATTGCATCATTGCACTTGCATGAATTATTGTGGCTATCATTATATTATTTGTGAACTGCCCCACTTGACACCTCACGAGCACCTATTTAGTAGTACCTAGTATTGGAAAGGTTGGTTACTGGGACTCTGTCTCACCCTGTGGTTTACAATGTTTTCAGGTGAAGGTTCCAGGCGTGCGCCTTCGGGAAGAGACGCAGAGGCTTGAGCTTGGTTAGCTTTAGGCCTCTGACATTTGTATATGTATGACTAGTATATATTGCCACATTTAGGACTGTTTTTTGATATATTTGATTACCTGGCCTTGTCGTAAACTGGAGAGAATGTATCTCCTTATTTTGGTTGGCCGGAGGCCATTGCTAGTGTTTTATAAACTCTGGATTATTTGGTTGGGAATCATTTAGATAGGCTGATGTGATGTTTGTTGTTACCCGGGCCGGAGGCTCGGAGGCCCAGTGGATATGAATGGATTATTTTAGTTGCATGCAACAGATTACGAGTTGACCCGAGTTTGAAAGTCAATTTCTAAAAATATGAAATTTTCCTTCTACTATGGTAGCTCATTTTAACAACTTTCCTTTTCTACCATAGTAGTGGACTTTATGACGAGTTATGATGTTTTTAAGGTTATGGGTCTTACAAAATCTATTTAAAATTATTCAAAGCCTAAATAGACTGAAAAATTATGCAATATTAAATTTGAGAACTTAGAAATATTTTGAAAAAAATTCATGTCCCAAACATGGCTCAAATAATTTTAAAAGCAAAAATAGGCTATTTTCCTAAAAAATTTAAAGAAAAATAGTTAGAGGTTTATATTTGAGCTGAAAATTTTAGAATAATTATATGATGTGGAGAAGATGATAAATGAGAGATGAAATTCTTATAATGTGTTAAGGATTAATTTATGAAATTAAGTGCTATTTTCTTGAAAAATTAAAGAAAAATAGTTGGAAATTGATTTTTGACCCAAACTTTTTATGAAAATTATTTTAGAAGTCAAGGAAGCTATTGGACAAGGAAAATCCATATAGAATATTGAATTAATTTTTGAGTTTATTTTACAATTACAGAAAAGTAGAAAAAGGATGAAAGTGAAGACAAAAACTTTTAAAGGGTATAATGGTCATTTCGATCCTTCCTAACATGTTTAAACCAGCAGCTCCTCCTTTCTTCTTCATTTTGCGACTGAAATCAGAGGGGAGCAGATCCCCTCAGAATCCCATTCTCTCAGTATCTCTCAGTAGTTGATCTGGACCGTTATCGTGATTAATCGTAGCTGTCCGTTTCAATACGCTTAAACACCTTCCAGACCTCTCAAATGCTTCGATTTCCTACAACTTTTTGGTGCAGCTGGGTAGGAAATATCCTAATAGGCACGATATGAATTGGGGGGGAAAAAAAAACTCATTTTTCATCAAAGATATTCCTCCGGTCCCATATAATACTTTCCTTCCAAAAATTTATTTGAATTTTATTTTGGTTCTAATTATAAAACCTTAATCTACTTTATCTCTTATATTTATTTATTTTTTTAAAAGTAATTATTATAATAATTCTAACTAATATACTTAATTAGCAAAGATACTTTATGAAAGACAACACTTATTTATTACAAATAATTAACTTAACTAATTTCTTTAATATACTTAAATTAGTCAACTAATCCTTATATTAATGACCGAAGTGAGCACTAATTAGAGGGTTAATTTAGTTTAAAATATAAGACTTATTTCATATAATTATCAATTTTTTTAAATTAAACCCATTAATATTTTCTTAATAATAATCAAGTAAAAAAGAAAGGGAAAAATGACATGTTTTTTTTAAACACCATGATCATCTTCCTTAATATCATCTCTCCTTCTTTTACTTGATTATGGCTGAGGGAGATCCATAGGGATAATTTAAAAAAAATTGATAAATATGAGAAATAAGTATTATATTTAAGGTCAAAATTAACTCAATAATTAGGTTCTATATTAAAGATTGGAGGAGTATAATAGAGATTTTTCTTATTTTAGCTATGAAAAAAATCTTTAAAAAATATATTTTATCAAAAAATGAGTTTTTTTAATCATATTTTGCCTCTCAAGATATTTTCCACCAAGCCATGCCAAAAAGTGGGAGAAGATCGAAGCATTTGGGGGGGTCCTGAAGGGGTTTTAAAAGTATTGAAATGGGCGGCTATGATTAATCATGTTAACGGTCCAGATCAGCTACTGAGAGATACTGAGAGAATGTGCTTCTGAGGAGATCTGCTCCCAAATCAGAGACACAGAGATAGAGAGAGAGAGATGAGAGGCACCGAGGAGAAGCGAAGAAGGAGAAGAGAGTGATTGGAGGTTGATTTATTATATGGAAACTGATTAATCAAGCAAGGTGAGCCTCCTAATCCCTCTCCCAAGGTTGTTTTCCGATTTTGGTGGCTAAATAGAAAGTTGATTATGAAAGAAGTTTGGGTTTACTGAGAGAAATTGAGGGAAACGGATGAAATAAGTTAGGAGAGGCGAAGATTAAAGCTTGTACGATTAAAATGTGGTGTTGCTTCTTGATAAATCTGGCTGCATGTGGATTTTCTTGCTCTGTTTTGTTAATGGCCGAACAAGGGTTGATGGTTTCTACAAGCTTTGGCTTCGGATTTCTTATCCATTTGGGGGTAGGAGTTGGCTTTGTGATTGCATGATGTTGGTTCTGGTTTTGCAAATGGGAGAGCGTATTTATGTGTGTGCGTGCGTGTGTGTGTGTGTATATATATATATAAATGATAACTCGTGTTCGAATTTGGATCTGAAACTAGATTAGAGAGAGATGTACATACACATGCTGATGTTTGTGTGTGTATGCCGCGAGAAGTAAGTTTGGAAGCTAAAATCAGATTGGAACTGAAAAGTGATACATACATATATATATATATATATAGAGAGAGAGAGAGAGAGAGACACACACACACACACAGAGTTAAATGGTTTCGAGTTATGGAAGTAGAGAGGATTTAGTTTGATGGAATTATGTAATTTTAATGCTTGTAGACGTGAGAATGGGAAGAACTATTGAATCTGGAGTTTTGGCTAAAAACGAAGAATAGAAATTGAAATGGGACCTTTGGGCTTCAATGGTTTTGATTTATGATGCTTAAAGATAGCATTTTAAAATCTGAAAAATTTCATATTCAAGGGAAGTTGTTAGTCGAAAATTTAATAGAAAGTGAAGAAAACATTAGCCACACATGAGAAACAACATAGAACGGTGGAATAGGAATTGTGATGTTTGTTTCATGGCTTTCATGTTAGGGATGGTGAAGAAAAAGTATTGGCTGAATCTAAAGCTCCCTGTTTCAATAGGTATAGCGCTGGGTTTTCTGACGAAAATGTTAAAGATAGTATAAATATTTAAAAGTGTGTAAATATAGATGGATCATGGTTGTGTAGATGGCTGTCGGATGATTACATGTTGAGTTTTGAATTTTTGGAGAATATATTTCAAATCTGAAAAACTCCACATTAAATGAATGATGCCATTCAAACTTTGTGAAGAAGCGAGAGTGCTCATATGGTAGGGCAATGGTATGATGCAAGTGATGTTTAGATATATGAAGATTAGATATGGTGCTGTGTGATAATTTGGAGGATGATTTTGACTCTGTTATACTATCCGAAAATTGTAACCTTTTATCTTGGGGGGATTTCATTTGGCTTTTATTAGGGAGATGTTATAACTGTGCTTTAAATTTTAGAACCTTCGATTGTTGTTGTCTAGAACATTTTTGAAAGATAAAAGCTGAAATTTTGAGTGGAATTGAGGGGAGCTTTAGAGATTGAATGATGGAGGTTAGATTTAAATTTAATAGATGTTTGATGGCCAAAGAAGATAAGTTAGGAAAATATGATGCGATAGATTGTTGATGTTTCCAAGTGTTGTATTGAAAGTTCTTTCAGAACGTACAAGGATAGTTTGAATTAATATAGATGATTAAAAGTGTGTTTGTGGATTCAAAGATGATAGATAGATTAATAGTTATGGAGTTGAAAAATGATAAACATTAAGTTAATTGTGAATAAAAGTTAAGAGAGCTTATTGAATTATTTTGGAAGAAAGATTAAGTTGCTTAAGTAACTCAGGACTCTTAGAAATTACGTTAGCTTGGAAATGAGAAAAAAATAAGTTGATGCAATTATATATACAATTGTTTGTGTGTCTCAGCCATGTGTGCAACATTAGTGAAGGTGGATTTTAATTTTTATTTCAATGGGATTAGATAATTGAGGAATGAAGGGCACTTGTTTGTCCTTGTATGTGATATATATATATATATATATATATATATGTGCACACACACACAAATAATATTTTTGATTAAGATAACCAGTTACTAAATAAAATAACTGTATAGATTAAGATAAGGAAGAAAACCCTTCAACGAAAATAGTTTGAATAAGAAAAATCGTCCAAAATGACTAATTACTAAATAGAGGTAAAAAATGTAACACCCAAAATTTTTTGACTAAGAAAAAGCAAAAAAAAAAAACAAAAGAAAAGAAATTTTATTTAAAATTATTTTAGAGCCTAAATAAAATGGGAGAAATTATAGAATATTAACTTTGAGGTAGGGCTGAGCATGTAACCCGAAACCCGGCCACCCGCCCGCAACCCGGCGAAATTGGACCCGTTTGGGCCCGCCCAAAAAAGAAAATAAACGGGCGGGCTTAAACGGGCGGGTTTACAAATTAAATGGGCGGGCTACGGGCACAGGCACGGGCTGCCCGTACCCGCCCATTTATTTTTTTTTTTTTAAATTGAAGAAAATGACAACCCCAAGCCCAGTCCTGCAGTTAGGCCAGAGCAACGGGCGGGTTGGGCAGCCCGGCCCCAAACCCGCAGCCCGCCCGTTTATGCAATAACGGGTACGGGGTGGCCCGTACCCGTACATAACCCGTTTAAGCCCGTCCCTAAACGGGCTGGGTTAAGTGGGCGGGCTTAAACGGGTTATGGGGAACCCGTTTAACAATCAGGTGCTGTTCAGGGGCTGTTCGCAATTCGCATTCAAAAATCAAAATAGATGAAAATTATAATACCATTAATCAAAATCTAAACTCCATAATCCATACAATCAGAAACCATCACAAATTTCTAATGTTCAAGGGTTCAAGCTTCAAAAGAGGACAACCACAAATATAAAATTGTAAAGGATTAATCATCATCAAATCATCATCAATCACTCATCATCATCATCACCACCATAATCATGAGCTTCTCCTTCAGAGCTACTTGAGGAAGTGGCTGTACTTGGAACCAATGACTCTTGCTCTACAAAACAAATTAAAAAAAATCAATTCATTAATATTTAATAACAAGATAAAACAATATAAATTGAAAATATTGTTGAAGGTTAAAATACCAGTAACGACATTTGCACTCTCAATAAAATTATCTAGTTCAAGGTCATTGAGTCTTGGAGTACTACTGCATAGCCAATTTTGAGCACATATGAGTGCCTCAACCATCTTTGCAGATAAAGAGCTCCTGAAATTATCCAGTATTCGACCCCCAGTACTGAAAACTGATTCAGAAGATACTGTAGAGACCGGTGCAGCCAACAAGTCACGTGCCATTACACTCAAAACTCTATACTTGGGAGCATTCACTTTCCACCATGCCAAGACATCAAATTTTGGATCACGAAAACCACCTAAATCAGCTTGAAGGTATTCATCTACTTCAGAAATTTTCTCTGCATTAACAACGGTGTCTGCAGTGGCTAGGAACTTTTGAAATGTAGAATCAGTATCATCATGAAATAACATGTCAATGTCATCATCCCCAGTTCCAACACTATCATGGACTTGCTGTTGATCCGCTGTTGATTGAGATTTAGATGCTTCACCATGATCAAGCTCAGCAACACTAGCAAAATAGTGATCATACAATCGATACAAGACATCCATAGTCTTTTTCAACATGGCTTCTCGCTTTGTAGGTTCAGGAAAAATGTCTTCAAAAGCAATCTTGATATATGTCATCTTGAATCTAGGATCAAGGATCACTGCTATGATCAACAACGGATTCATTTTTTCTGCTTTTCCCCAGTACTTATCATACTTTGTCTGCATTCTCCTTGCCATGTCACTCAAGAGAGAGTACTCACTAGCTGCACTTCGATGAAGGTGAGTCTGAATTGCAACTATATGCTGAAAGCATGTACTTGTTGTTACAAAATTTGATCCAGAAAATTTGAGGGTCTTAGTGTAGAACAACCTCAAAAACACAAGAAACTCTTTAGCCACACTCCAATCATATGCAGTAGGTGGTTCAGCTGTGGCCCTTCCTAATGTTGTGTCAATGACATCAGCATCATCATCATCATCATCATAACTTAAGACAACACCCTGTTGGTTTGTAAACAGTTTAACCTTTTTCTTAAAGTAATCCTTGTAATCTTGATCTTCTTCTTCCATCCTATCAAAGACTTTGATGAACTTGACAGCATTTTCCAACATCAGATAAGTTGAATTCCACCTAATCACATGACAAATAAGAAATAAACAACTAAGAATTATCAAGTGAAAATGGACATAATATGAAAATAATACAATTATAGTGCAAATAATACCTCGTGGGGCAATCCAAAGTCAGCAAACTCTTCGAATCAATTTTTTCCTTTTCAACAAGCTCCTTGAACCTCTGTAGCCTAGCTGGAGAAGATCTAACAAATTTAATTGCATGCCGAATAAGTTCAATAGACTTATTCATTTCCTTTAGACCTTCACCAACAATCAGATTCAAAATATGAGCTGCACACCGCATTTGCAAAAACTCTCCATCACATATTAGACCATTCCAACTCTTCAACCGTTTCTTCAAATAGGCAATTGCAGTGTCATTAGAAGAAGCATTGTCAACTGTAATTGTGAAGACTTTTTCAATGCCCCAGCTGAATAAACAATCCTCAATTTGCTTGCCAATTGTATCCCCTTTGTGATTTTCAATGACACAGAAATTTAAAATCCTTTTCTGTAAAGTCCAATTCTCATCAATCCAATGTGCAGTCAAACACATATAGTTGGAGTTTTGTATTGAAGTCCAACAATCAGTGGTAAGGGACACACGGCATTTAGATCGCTTGAAATATCTCTTCAAACGTTTTGCTTCCTCCAAATACAATTGGTAGCAATCCCTAGCAATTGTCCATCGTGAAGGTATCTGAAACCTAGGTTCAAACTCTTGCAAAAGTTCTTTTAGACCCTCCCCTTCCAAAACTCGAAAAGGCAATTCATCCTTTATGATGAACCTTGCAAGAGCCTTTCTACATCTTTCTTGGTTGAACAAGCGATACGATTGAGATGATTGAGAAGACATAGCAGTCAACATGGTTTGTGACTTGCTTGCTTTGTTTGGATTCTTAGGACACTTTTCAAAATGCCGCCACAACTGTTTTGTCCCAGTTTTAGTTGGATGACTTGCATAATCTATGCCACAATAATTACACTTCGCCCTATGTTTCCCTTTGGTTTGGGTTAATGGCAACCTTGTAAAATGATTCCAAATATCAGATGTTAGCCGCCTTTTCCTCTTCGTTGGTGGCGCTACTTCTTCAGCATCTTGTCTCTCATTATTATTTTTAGCATGTTGAACAACAGTACTTGGGTTTTCAGTTGGACCTTCCACACTTTCCTCTACAACAGTCTTAGCTTTGATATTGTCTTGCTGACTTTGTGCCATTCTTCAATTTCCTTCTCAATCCAAATCAAATTTAACAACAATAATAATAGCCTTAATAGGAGAAATAAAAATAATAATACTTTCCCAATTTTTCCAAAACCAAATCAATTTTCAGTTTTTCACTTAAACATAATCAAACTCACTCATTATGAAATGAATATAGAACACAAAATCATCAACAAACAAAACTGCAAGAAGACCGATGTTTGTCAAAATGCACACACAGAGACCAAAAAGAAAATTGCAATATCAAATATCAATTATATATTGCAAATGCGGTGTGCACACAAATTGTTTCAATAACAGACTAACAGTTATATATAACATCAGGATTATGCTTTATCTTGTTAATAACATCTAAAAGCTGATCAAATCCTTTGCCAGAGTAGTCCGCATGCATGTCAGTATAGTGAATATGGTAATACCCAGGTCAGGGAATTGTGCAGATGAGGCCAGATGAATATCTACGTTTACATATAATATACAAAATCCAATAAAGCACGATGACTTGCTATAATGCTATGTAAAGTTTCGACATTTTTTAGTTGTGTATTTTCATCAAACAGCTTATGGGCGTGAACCAGGCTGAAACAACAATGCAAAACCCAACATGAAAAGCAGAAAACTCGATATAGGAAGAGCCGAAGAGGAAGTTGAAACCTGCCAGCTTTGTGAGTATACCTATAGACTCGGCGAGTGACAGTCACCGAGGAGGCGAGGAGGCGAGGACTCAGAGGTCGACTGGAGTCTGGAGTTGGAGACAGACACCGACCGAGTGAGTGACGGTCTGACCGAGGCGAGGACGAGGCGACTGGTGAGGACTCGAGGGGATCACCGGATCAGGGGAGACAGAGACCGAGTGAGAGTGACGGTGAGTGGTGACCGACTGGAGCAGAGACCGAGCTGAGGCGAGGAGGCGAGGATTCGAGGTCAACTCGAGGGGATCAACTCGAGCTGAGGCGAGGAGGCGAGGATTCGAGGTCAACTCGAGCTGACGGTGAGTGGTGACCGACTAGAGCAGAGACCGAGCTGAGGCGAGGAGGCGAGGATTCGAGGTCAACTCGAGGGGATCAGCCGATCAGGATTCAGGATTGAGCATTCAGTGATTCACTCAGGCTCAGCTCAGCGGGAGTCCGGGACCGGGAGTGCGGAAGCCGGGAGATGGGAGACCGACGAAGACGAGATTAGAGAGGAGAGAGTGAGAGATCACTAGATCAGAGTCCGAGTCTCCGAGAGAGCGAAGGCGACAAGGCGTGAGTGAAGCGGTTCAGAGTTCAGACCAGACATTCAGATTTCAGAATTTCAGACCACAGAGGCAGACATTCAGTCTTTCTTACTTCTTAGTTTCTTTCGGTTTTTCGGAGACGGGAGGGGAGACCGGAGACGTAGAGACTAGAGAGCCAGAGATGGACACGGACACGCTACACGCCTACACGGACACTCACTCAGATTGGGCTTAATTATTGGACTGCAGGTAGGGCTGAGCATGTAACCCGAAACCCGGCCACCCGCCCGCAACCCGGCGAAATTGGACCCGTTTGGGCCCGCCCAAAAAAGAAAATAAACGGGCGGGCTTAAACGGGCGGGTTTACAAATTAAATGGGCGGGCTACGGGCACAGGCACGGGCTGCCCGTACCCGCCCATTTATTTTTTTTTTTTTAAATTGAAGAAAATGACAACCCCAAGCCCAGTCCTGCAGTCCAATAATTAAGCCCAATCTGAGTGAGTGTCCGTGTAGGCGTGTAGCGTGTCCGTGTCCATCTCTGGCTCTCTAGTCTCTACGTCTCCGGTCTCCCCTCCCGTCTCCGAAAAACCGAAAGAAACTAAGAAGTAAGAAAGACTGAATGTCTGCCTCTGTGGTCTGAAATTCTGAAATCTGAATGTCTGGTCTGAACTCTGAACCGCTTCACTCACGCCTTGTCGCCTTCGCTCTCTCGGAGACTCGGACTCTGATCTAGTGATCTCTCACTCTCTCCTCTCTAATCTCGTCTTCGTCGGTCTCCCATCTCCCGGCTTCCGCACTCCCGGTCCCGGACTCCCGCTGAGCTGAGCCTGAGTGAATCACTGAATGCTCAATCCTGAATCCTGATCGGCTGATCCCCTCGAGTTGACCTCGAATCCTCGCCTCCTCGCCTCAGCTCGGTCTCTGCTCTAGTCGGTCACCACTCACCGTCAGCTCGAGTTGACCTCGAATCCTCGCCTCCTCGCCTCAGCTCGAGTTGATCCCCTCGAGTTGACCTCGAATCCTCGCCTCCTCGCCT